CAAAACACTTTCCACTGTTCATGGCTTTTTTATGCAAACCTTTTGCGAACAATGTTAGTAATGGATGTTTCAAGGCTTTATTAATTTTGTAAAGTTGCTCTTTGAACTAGACAAGAGAAGAAGGAGAGCTGAAGACAAATACCGGGAAAATAAAGGGGAAAATTTTTGAAATAAAGAAAAAATAAGGGAAAATTTCCTGAACATTTTTAATTTGTCCCCTGTTGTAATGTCATGTGTTATGTGAAGCCCATATAGCTTAATGTAAACCCAAACTATCAATTCTTCTCAAACCACATTTTAATCTGTCATTTATTGGTCTATTAATCCTGACTGTTTTTATATAATCGTATATGTTTTGACCGCTTATCCCACTGATCTGCAGCTTATTTTTGTTCTGATTATAAATATTGACCGCCTCGCACGCCATCTTCACTGCATGTAATTTCACTTTGATTTCTTTGCTTCTTTCCCCTGACTGTATGTCCAGATCAATGAGTGTACACAATATACATATTCAAAAATCCATTATCGTATTTGTTTTATCTAATTCCGTTATTCATTAACGTGGGTTATGTTGGAAATTATATGTGAGGATAGCTTGCATGTATATCTCAATAGCAATTAGAAACGACCCAGCTGGAGTCAGAATTACGGACACTAAAGCCTACCATAGGGAAATATTACGTCTTTTCTCCTCTTTGTTGACATTGGAATATTTCAGAAGTAACGACGATTTCATCGTATCTACTGTTTGCTCGAATTCACGACTGCTTGTCTACTTCTGTTTTACATTTAGACACAATGACCTGCTGCTCAACTGAATGTTCGTTGATTAAATTCAAATGTACCTAATCTCAGACAACATTTTCCTTACGCTTGTGTTATTTTTCATCCGTGTAAAAACGCTTCTACCTAGCAGACTTAGTGTAAATATCCATCACAAAAAATAATCCGTTTGCAAAAATGTAAACATGGATCTCAAGAAAAAGAATGTCACCAATTAATGAGTTAACTAATATGATTGTCTCAATTTAAAGCTCAATATGGAGTCATAGACACCTAGAAGACACATTTTTATATTGTCTTTACGTATTACATATTAGTAAGAAAGCCAATGCATACACAAGATATAGTTTATTAGAAAACCATGATTGCTGTGCAGACAAGTTTGAATTAAAATAATACCAAGTTCTCACATTGACTTTAATAATCAGAACTGCATTTCTAAGTCCCTTATAAGATAATTATAATTATCTTTTTATCACACCAAAGTACTTGCTGTCCTAAAGACTTGTTTATCCAATACTGCAACAAGACTTGACAACAAAAATGAAGGATGTTAGTTTGGTAGACTTGGTTATCTAATTGTTTTGTTACTATTATGCGGTTAAGAACCAAAATTGGAAAATGAAACGCATAAAGACCAATGTAATTGTAGTGTTTGTATGAACTATTGATTATTTTGTAACCGATGTCTACCTGATTTTGGATTGTAAATATAATACGTTCGTTTGTGCTCACCTAGTTCTGCTTGGCTTACATTGCGTTAGTTCAGAGATACCTAGTTCTTATAATCATCCAAATACTTCTGAATATATCACAATAACTTTGGAACTTGCGTAATACGAATGTAATGAGTATGATGTGACCATCAGCTGTGATGCTTCTTGAAATTGAGTTGGAACTACTAGACCAAATATTTCCATATTATCGCACAGTATGAATGAGAGACTTCAGTACAAGAACAAAAATCAAAATCAAACATTTCGTTTTCGAAAACACTTAGTTACGTAACAACTGGTTGGTAGCTTTGGTAAGCCACCCCTTTCATACAAAGGCTAGACGTTAATCTTAAATTCTACGATGATACCGAATATTAACAATTGACCGTTCAGACCATTTAATTTCAGAAGGAACATAATAAGAACTAAATATCGCCGTTACCAAAACCTTTTTTTGACACAAGGTAAGTAATGTAAATGAACAGTGATAAGGCTTAATCGTTTTAGCGAAGTTTCTAAGTTGATTCAATGGTCGAAGTGCTCGTTGTACATAACACTGTTATGAAGTTGTAGGTCATTTTCTAGTCCATCGAGGCAATCAAAACATAAACGAACATCATAGAAAATAATCTTAACTTGGAAGGGTAAATGTTTAGATTTTTGGTTTTCTCCATGAGATTGCAATGTTACTGATTATCGTTGAACCAGAACATGCAATAACTGAGAAGATTTGCATTCAACACTGTATAAAACATCGATAATAGGAGCGCAGAATTACTTGATCGATATGACATGACTCAGCCATGCAGGTTCAGGTTACTACTGTGTAACACTTTCCTTGTCATAAAGAATATGTCGCATAGATTGGCTAATATTATTACATTTTTTCTATGCTGTCAGAACAATAGATCTGTAGTGACTCACGTTTATCACGAGAACACGACTGGTTTAATAAAAACAATTATTATCCTAACCAACTGTACCAGTGTTTGTTTTAATGTGCTTTTTTTAACTGTGCTAATTATGGTCATTTTGTGCTTCCGTTACCTTCCATCATTGTTCCGCGGTTTTTGGTACTGTTCGCACGTACTCCTGTCTTCTGCTTCCACTTGTACCATTCCTTGGCACGATCTCGGTATTCGTTCAATACCACGAGATCGCCAACGAAATAAACCTGTTTACGTTCGATCTTCGCCTTCTGATTTACTTCGCACGTGTTTCTTGGTAGCGGTGTTCATAGTTAATCCCAAGTCGACTCCACGCTACAGATCTATTTCATAACTGTAGATTTTCAACGATGTGACTGTGTTGTGGCATTGAGCTTTAACCACACAATCTTCAAAGCTGAACACGAGACAATCGAGAAAACAGACATTCAAAATTCAACGCAAAGAAAACCCACCAATGGTAAAAGCAGGAAAGGTTGATTCAATTCATCGGATGGCATGGCTCAGCCCTGCAGGCGTAGTCATTCTTATACGACTTATCCGTTTCATTCACACTAAAAATATATTATTCTGTCTCCAGCTTAATTGCGTTCTCCATCTTATATTGTTGGTTGTTGCGATACGATGAGTCAATGTAGACAATGATTTGATTTCCACGTAAGATTTTATTGATTAGGCAGTTGCATCATAACGAATCCACAGTTTTAGTATTCGGTCTATTGTTAGAACAGTTCTGATAACGAAGTAGATCATAATTCTACAACTACCTCGTCATTCAATCCTTACGTGTAATTCACACATACTGACTTGTCCTATCATGACAGAAAATGTTTGTGGCTAAAGACCTCTGAAAAATACATTTGAACTGGGAATCAAACAATTAATATAATATGCAAAGCAAGAGGTTACATGACGATGACCCCATCCGAATGGCCAAGCCATGCTATATTGATCGGATGCTCTCGCGTTCGCCATTTCTGATCTTCCCTATAGTTTTTATTGCAAGTCTTAGTCGCCGTAATTTCAGCTTCATCGACCGTCTTTAGGACCAACACCATAATACTACTCTCCTACCAGGATCAATATAACTTGATTTCGATACAATACCAGGTGAGATCAACGCGCGCAAATGGTTACTAAGAGAATAGTTAGAATCCACCAGGTGTCAAAAATGAGATATGTAGCAAAACGATAGCAGCAGCAAATAAATCGCTATGTGAGATAATTTAAAAATGTTTGGTTTTATTTTCAGCACTCGTAAATCGAAAATTTACGTGCACATCATTTGAGAGATAAACGAATTTGAACTATTATACTGCAGGATGGTTTAGTATTAATAGATTTAAAAAGCTCATATCAAAATGTGTAACAGCAACCGTTGGTTAACAGCTTAATGTGCGAACAGCGCAAGTACTTGATGCTCAGAGTTATGGTAAACAAATGCAAAGATATTCAGAGATGTAGAAATGTTGATATTATCACTATAATTTACTTCATTTGGCAAATTGGATGTTAATGCCCGTGTGCTGACAGTTTGTTGATTTATAATTGCATTTGCGTTAATAAGCTAACTGAAGGAACAGTAGTATAACCACGTAGAGGAAAAATTCCAACTTTTGTGCCGGTTAGCCTTTTGGGCTTTACAACATTTATATAATTACAGGAATATTTCTTCCTCACTCCTTAACCGTAACATGACTTAGTAGTACAATTAATATCAAAAATTCACTTAGTAGGTAGACGTATTGATAATTGTTTAAAATTCGGACAGACAGCTAAGATGAATTCGCCAAACATGAGTGTATATATGAAAGACATGAACTAGACTCAATTTCCTGATGTACGATAAAAAAATTATTTGTATTCATACTGATCGGTTGATAGTGCATTCAATTAGTTACACGTATGAGTTTCGGAACAAGGTAGAGACCGCCTTTTTTGAGACAGAAGGATTATAAAGTGCTGAATTTGGTAAAGTTTGTATGTCTCAGATCTAGGAGACATGATTTTGTCCGTTTTCATCTAAACTAATCTCTGAGTGCTGCGTATGCCATTATTAGGTAGAGCGTAAGTTGTAACCAAGACGTGTACCACCTCCAACTCATGTTTATGAAAGTGGTATGAACTATTGTCACTGTTAGGGTATACATTACGGAATGCAATGAGTGGTGTTGAATAAGTGAAAGCATTAAATGTTGTATGTGCGAGATGTAGAACATAAGAAATGGAAGATATGTGTAAAGTAATTGTCATAAATGGTCAGTATATTTGCGGATAACCAAACGCTCATCAAGTCTCAAGGCAACATGCGTTGATACAGTATCTACCCTCTTTCAGATGTAGCTATATTTATCTGGCTTTAGAGGTAAGGGGGTTCTTTAATTTCTGAGGGGAGCTGAGACGCGTTCATCAATACTGTGAAACTAGTACATAGCAATAGCCAGTATCAACTACATGAAACCGTTAATTAATAGTGAGATATTAGTCACTAAATTGAGGCTGGTATTTCATAGCTGTCCGACAAAAGATTGGCTATTGCAATATATTGAACATTAGGTCTGCGCCATTTGCTTTGATTTGGCCTTGACTGTACGGTGGACTTGTATCTATTGCGCACACATTTCTCTTCGTAATTCTTCTATGTAAATGAAAGTTTCCTCAATTTTAAGGACAGTTCGTAGAAACCTGCTATCCGTGTTTGCACCCACCTTTACTGCCTATATAATTTACGTGGATTATCAAGCTTGCAAAAATTATAAAGTTAGTCTGTGTGTTATTATATAACATCTCACATAGGGATCGAAACTCGCAAATGAATCTTCAGGTGTCGTCGGGTAGTCTTCGGATGGGGTTGTTTGTGACGGGAATAGTAGCTGGTGTTTTCGGTTCCTATGCACTTTACAGGTGTATTCCTGTGAATGAAGGAATGAAAGGTAGATCAGCACTTTATCGCAACAGGAAAGTTCCAGCTGGTGAAGATCCATGGAAGTACTAATGCTTTAGTTAATGTATAAATAAATACTTCGTAGCAGTAGAATGTCTTTTGTTTTAATGCTCACGTTGTAAACATTCTAACCATCCTTATGTTTTCAGTGCACTGCTACCTAAATTATGGAAAGTGTATCAAAGCGGAATAATTTGGAAGATGATCTTAAGAATGTAGAGTTTGAGACATCTGAAAATATTGAAGTAATCCCATCTTTCGATTCAATGTGTCTCCGAGACGATCTACTTCGTGGGATTTACGCTTATGGTAATAACCCCTTATTTCTTTAGTTCATCTCATAGGATTTGAGCGGCCTTCAGCGATTCAGCAAAGAGCTATCAAACAAATAGTAAAGGGTCGAGATGTTATAGCACAGTAAGTACTTCATTATTAACTTTTATCCTGTTTTAGAGCTCAGTCTGGTACTGGCAAAACCGCAACATTAGGTATATCTATTCTACAAATGTTGGACACCCAGCTAAGAGAAACTCAAGCATTGGTTTTGTCTCCAACCCGTGAACTAGCCTCGCAAATACAGAAAGTCATCCTCGCCCTAGGTGACTACATGAATGTTCAATGTCACGCTTGTTATGGTGGGACAAACATTGGAGAAGATATTAGGAAACTGGACTACGGACAGCATGTCATATCTGGAACTCCTGGTCGTGTATTCGGTGAGTAGTATGTACTGTTGAGAATATTTATCTACAAATGTACACACGCTTTATAGTTCCATGTGTGTCTCTTAGTAGTTTTACTGTTGATTAAAGTGACTGGGTAAAAAATTTAGAATACTGACCCATAACAGCCAGTATCATATAGCTAAAGAGGAAGATGCCATAATAGCATGCATAAAGCAATACTGAATTTAAAAATGTGTCATAAACAGGATAACATATAAGGAAGTAATCTGTCACTAATTAGTCCGTCAGTTATCAACTTTAGCTTCATGAACACGGCTTTGAGTCACATTGTTTTTTTGGGGGGATAGTTACATTGCTTATTTGTTAATCATTTTAAATTTTTTCTTATTAGTAGTGACTAACCATAGCAATCTGATTTTACAAACTTTACTGAATACTAATAGTTCGTTTTCATCGCACTTATCGTTATGTATATTTGGAGTAGATTATGGATTTAATGTACGTTTTTGTTTTGTGCAGATATGATACGCCGTCGCAGTTTACGAACAAGAGCTGTTAAGTTGTTTGTTCTGGATGAAGCTGATGAGATGTTGGATAAAGGGTTCAAAGAACAAATTTACGATGTTTATCGGTACTTACCCCCTGGTACACAAGTAGTTCTTCTATCAGCCACAATGCCTCATGAGATCCTCGAAATGACGTCAAAGTTCATGACCAATCCTGTTCGGATTCTGGTAAAACGGTAGGTTAGCTTCGATATTTTTTGCGTGAAATCATCAAGCGAATGTTTAACACTTGTTCGATCAAAAGATCCACGTTGAATCAAGTGAATGTAAATTGTCCGAATTTTAATAGGAGCGAGCATAGTATTTCGTGAAATTATTGTCATCTCATTAGATTTGTGTAAGGGCTGTGATATTGCCCGGGTGCCCAGACCGAAGTAGGTGGTTTTCTTAGGGGGCCACATCCGGAGCCTTTGATCTAAAGGTCTGACCCACTAGGCAGTGGAGCAACGTAAAGAGATGCAGTCCTATGGTAGCCGGTGACCAACGTAATTTGTTCCCTCAGGATACTGGAGCCCATGCGCACAATTGGTTTGGAATCAGGGTTTCCCAACTCCCCTATGTTGACCCTCCGTGTCCACCAACCCGGTTAAAGCGCCGGAGTTTCTCTTTTCGTCCTCTCAATTTCGTGAAGAAAAGTAATGCCGTAAGAAGGCAGTGAGTAGGACTACCCTGGCAGTGGTTGTATGCACGTGGCCATGTGGGAGCATCCCGAGAGGGAGAACGGACTTCCCCACTCTCGGCCGTACTAAGGTATTTGGCGGCACCTCGCTAAGAGTTGGAGGACATACAATAGTTTACTACTCAGGTTGATTGGAGATCGTGGGTAGTTGGAGTTTAGTTGAAGGCTCGTTGAACTGTTCTCTATGGTATACTGCCCATTCATCAAATCTCCTGGATTGAGAGTGAATAAAAGTCCCATCTTTCTCCGAGATTGTTTCACTAACAACCGAATTTCTAATAACCGTTTCGTTGGTAAGTCTGATTGCTCATCTGTTACTTATCGCTGCTTCTGCTTCTCATTGTGTTTAGAGCCTGCCAATATGAGTTTACGTGTATCCATCAGTTTAATAGACGTCACTGAAATCCACTGAATTTTCTTGGCCTTTTGATTTAAGTTACTAATAGATACTACTTCTGTTTCCACAGCTTTCTGGATATCATTCCAAGCTACATCTAAGTGAACGTGACTTTCACGGTTGACTAACTTTTCCTCTGTTCCTGAAATATATTCTTGACTTTTTCATCATTAAGCTAGATTCTAACGGGTTTTCTTGCTGTGGATTTTCTACGTCCAGTAAGACAGACAAGTAGGTGCTTAAACTAAGGCATGATCTGAGTCCAAACATGTGCTCCAAAATAAGCGACGGTCTCCTATCGAGCCTCTCCAGCGATGGCTGATGGTAATGTGGTTTATTTGTGTCCACTGTTTAGTCGATTTTGAAGGTCGCCACGTCGGATGTTGCTTTTCCTTCTGATTAAAGTTGGTCTTTGCTCTAAATAGACGGTGATCGGACCTTAAGTTGCGGCTTTTGCTCTTACCGTTCTCCAGCCAACTCGTCTTCCAGGGTGGAACCTAAAGGAATATGTTTCAGCCCATATGACTCGGTTGGGTCGCCGCGATAGGCAAAGCTGACCACTACATCAATGTAGCAGCTACAATCGGGATGAGGGCTAGCAGTTCTACTAAGTTATTGAGGTAAATTAGTATAGATTCCATCAGACTACTGTGATGATAAAAAAACTGATAAATATGGCTAGAAAACCTTTCGTCTCTTGTTTTTGTAAGCCTACTTCATTTTACATTCCCGGACTCGTAAAATCTGTATTTTTTTGTTCAGTTCTATACAGCGATTGTATGTAATTGATAATAAGCTAGCAATGTAGAATAAAGTCATCTTACTCTATGAGTATTGTTCTGTTTCCTCTGACGTTATTTATTTACTTGAAGGCGAACAGTATGAGGTAAGTAATGCGATTACACTTGAAACGGCTACTCGCATGTGTAATTACTGTTTAATCTGTTTTTTCGGCTCAACTGCTTTTCCAAGTATGTAAAGTCAACTAATACCTTTCACCGTTACATGGTAACTTGGTACATTCGAATCTCATCAGTCACATTTCTTAATCGATTATATATATAAGATAAAAGCTTAATAATTTGTCAATCTTGAATCATCACAACATACCTAGATATTCGGTTTGAGTTCTTTTCACTGTATTATGAAATTCATCAACTGTAATTAACAGAAACGATCGTGACGTGCTCACAATAGTGGGTAGGATACTACTCTTTGTAATTAAACCGGTTTCGATGAACAGATATACTGTTACTCGACGTTTCACTTTTATGAAATATATGCTTTATTAGTAAAATTATGTACCATGATTTTTAATGCGTGTCACTCAAGTGCATCACTGTTTTGAAACATCACATGAAATGTGTAAACATCTTGATATAAGTTTGTTTTCTTGTTAGAATTATGGTTGTTCTAACCAGGGCATTTGGGGGCCCCATATATATATTTGGTGCCCCCTTGTACCAATATTTATGTGTTCAGATAAATAAATAACTTGTGTCTGATATTTTACAGCGATGAATTAACTTTGGAAGGCATAAAGCAATTCTTTGTGGCAGTAGAACGAGAAGAATGGAAATTTGACACTCTTTGTGATTTGTACGATACACTCACTGTCACTCAGTCTGTTATTTTCTGCAATACTAAACGTAAAGTTGCATGGTTGACGGAGAAAATGCTCAAAAACAACTTCACTGTGGCTTCTATGCATGGTGATATGGTTCAGAAAGAGCGAGAAGAAATTATGAAAGATTTCCGAGCTGGGGATAGGTATGTTCAAAGTATCCTGGTTGTTCAGCATATTTATTTTTTACATTTTAAACACTTTAAAATTCCCATCATAAACTTATATTTACATGTAGTTTAGTTAAGTTACGAGCTTTACGACATCGGTTACAATGGCGCTAATGCATTCACTCTGTCTTCTAGATCTTAAGTTCCAGCGTCCTTCCATGTATATCTTCCCATTCTGTCTTTCGAAACTGTTCTGAGTGTTCAGTTTAGCCTGTTTCACCATATATAAACAAGCACAGCTGCACTCATTCGATGAATTCGGAATTACATCACCTATTCTCCGGGCATGGATAACAGTCATCTAACTGTGACCAGGAGAAAGCCTATGGTTCTTTACACGTCATAGATTTCGTGGATTTATGCATTTCTTTCACTGAAGGGCACATAATCTTCCAGTCAGCCTACTCCATCAAAGTAGACAGTGTCTAGACAAGTTTCAAACTTTCATACTTGATATAAATTCATAAGGTATCAGTTGGTTTCTTTCTGAACTTGAGACTGCAATCAAGACTAAATCCACTAGTCTTTATAAAGCAATATCTGTTATCTTATCTCTTGAGCGCTTACACCTTAGTCATACCACATCAAATTGTACCTTGTGGAGTCCACTCAAGCTTAGTTATGCCGTCGATGATTTCACATTTAATGGGTGAATGTTTTCAAGTCATGTGCTTTGCTGAAGTTCATAAAGTGTGGTACAAATCTACGTACTCGATTTTTTTACTGGTATTTTCAGACTCCATACTGTTTTTACTCAAGGACTTAGATAACTTTAAAATCCTACTTAATATGGAAATTGTGGTTCTTGCATGATACGAATATTTTCACTTTTAAGTTACTGTAGAAGTGGTTTACTAAGTAGTTAAAAAAATTAAATCGTTTTATGATAAAAATAGGTAACTGGTAACGTATTTCAATGTAAGCAGTCATCACTCACTATAGCTGTAAAGCATTTCAATAATCAGCTAGTGTATTATACCATAAAAGTCCCCATCACCACTTAAGCAGTTAAGCTTTGTCATATATATATATATATATATATATATATATATATATATATATATATATATATATATATATATATATAAGCTAACGACAACTAATGTAGACCAAACTGGATACCCAGTGTTAGAGTTTAATCAAACCAAGAATGGCCACATCACATGATTCAAGTGCTTATAATATTTTAACTCACTGGTTGAAGTGGCTCAAAATCTGCAAGTACTCTTTATCTCCCTCTAAATAACAAACATCTTATGATTACATGTTTATTTATTTCGTGTCTATCCACCTCGTGGCTAATTTCAATTTCTTGTATTTGTATAATCATTCAATGAGATGAAGTTGATTAGAACTATGAAATATATTAATCAAATATATTTCGAACATAGTCTAATGCTATTGATTCATTATCCAGTATAATGTGATTTGCATCGTTTTTTCTTCCAGTTTTATTTTTCATATATAAATATCTTAACAAGTATATGTATGATCAGTTTGTCCAAAATGTATTGCGCTAATATATCACAGTTTTGACAAGCTTCGTCTTTTCATTTACATTATCCTAAATTATGAAAGAGACCAACTATGTTAAATACTTGTTTTATTGAAAAGTATAAAAATACGAGTCAGTAAAATTGACTTTTAGTAATTCACTTGTTGATTATGTTTACATTTCAGCCGCGTCCTCATAACAACAGACTTGTGGGCACGAGGCATTGATGTCCAACAGGTATCTCTTGTCATAAACTACGATTTACCTAACAATCGTGAACTTTACATCCATCGTATAGGTCGATCGGGGCGTTTTGGACGTAAAGGTGTAGCGATTAACTTTGTAAAAACGGATGATATAAAAATCTTACGCGATATTGAACAGTACTACTCTACACAAATTGATGAAATGCCAATGAATGTTTCAGACCTTGTATAATTCTTGGCATTCTTTTCGTACTTTAATAAATACTTATATTTTGTATGTAGTCAACTTTTGATTTTTAGTCGATGCAGTTAGTAATACAGATATTATCATGTCAGTTTACGTTATCGAATTTGACTAATATATACCCTATGCGTTGATCATCACTGACTAAATATATATTGCTCAGATTATGTAGACTATATCAGTCTCAAGATTAACGAACTTTGGGCTCGTAACAGCTCTAAAGTGTAATATAAATGATGTTATCACCTTAGAGTTTAGGTACCATTCAATCATAATATTATTGATTAGTAGGGTACACTTATTAACTTACAAGATCACTCGAATGAAATTCGTAAAATGGAACCGGGGATAAGCTTAAAAATCCTAAACTGCTTTTGTGAATTCAAAACAAAAACATTTCTAGCCAATGATTTTTTTATTCAAGTAGAATCACCCACCAAAATCTGATAACTATGATCCAAAAGTTGCGAATTTCACAGAATGTAGCTGTTTAATATGATGGGGATTTTTTCTTCGACCTTATGACAGGTTTAGCGACTGCATATAGTCCAGTAACACCTTAAGAAAAGCTGTGAAGATAAGAGAAAGTTTACCATGGATTAACAGTAAGGTAGGGTTTCGCTAAAACAACACGAAATGTAGCAACAGTATTCGTATTGTAATTAGTTTGACATCAAATGTTTTACGAATTTACATGACCTGAGAAATGAGTTGTCTCACAATATGACAAATATGAATGCCTTATTATTAACACATCCGGGATTCAATTACTTATATCCTATATGGTATAAATATATATATATACATTTCACTTTAAATTAATATTGATATTTTATACCAGGCACTAGGTAGTGGAGTTAATAAGAGTCTACTGATGCAACATGTTCACTTAACCCTAACTTTCAAACAATCCTCATAAACAAACTGAATTGTAAAGCATTAGCGAATCACTTTCTTAGACTACAGAATTGTCATGCATCTTGTGTTGTCTACACTTAAAAATGTCAGAAAATGAATTATGCAAACCTTGTATTTATTGTTTAGTTTACAAACAGATCCATCTATTCGTCATGGAGTTATGATAAAAATAAAGTACCAATTTTAATAAAATCCCCGAAATATCAGCAATAAATTCAATTTTAATGAACAAAATATATGAGGGTAAAATGAAGCAAGTACAAAACATCCCATCAAGTGACCATAACATTAGACTGAATATATGTCAGTCACCATAATTTTATGTGCATATAGGTAACAAAGACAAAGGGTACACTAATCTAACTAATAATTTTTCAAAACTTTCTTGTATAAATATCACACCAGTTATCAACAAAATAGTTGAGTATTATATAAAACAGACAAATATCGAAGGTAGTTTACTTGTTTAAGAAATTTTAATGGAAAAAACTTAGTTTGAAATAATTAGAGAACTGTGCGCTTGATCTAATTTAACATTTAGTAATCAGTTAAAGCCAAAATGTGGATGTGAACGTGGGAGACAGTTGTCAATATACTGGACGTAACTTAAGAACAGTAAATCGTACAATAATAATCTATAGGTCTAAATGAAGCTTATAATAAGAGGAATGTAGACATACACAATCTAGTTATTGAATAGTTATACCATAAGAATATATAGATAACATTAGTCCATTGATAGGTCTCAGAAGTTACTCGTAATTTAATCTTCACTAGAATAAAGCAGCAACCAAAAGTATTTATCAACCAATACGTGTCAATTTAAATTTTTCTGTAGTTCTTCCAGAGTTACTGCCTGTCACAAGCCCGGGTAAAAGAGGAATGTTGGGTGTGAGGTCGGCAACCCCATCCCGTAGGAAACAACCTTGTTAAAAACGCTAATCAGATTAAACAATTTAAACTCTACCCTGGAAGTTGAACGAAGAATTATGACGCCAAATGATGAAACCCAAGATTCTTCGGAAGTCACGAGACCGAAGCCCTATTTTAACAACCAGAACAACAATTTTTGTAGGTACATAGGATGTCTAGACAATGTTGGAGACCGAGCCAGCTTGGCGGTGCTTGGAATCAGTGAAACCCATGGGACCCAAGCTGGACAGAAAATATTAGATTCAGGAGAAATGCTGATGTACTCTGGTCACGATGAAGAAAATGCTCCATATATTCAAGGAGTTGCTCTGATGTTGTCCAAAGAAGCACGTAAAGCGCTTATAGGATGGGAATGTCACAGACCCATGGTCCTCAAAAACAAAGAATGAGGCCATTGCAGTGAATGTTATGCACCGACCAGTGATAACAATGACGACCATACAGATCAGTTCTACGAGAGGCTTCGATCGATTATGCCCCAGTATCCAGCAAACGACCTGACCATCTTAATGGGAGATCTAAACGTCAAAGTTGGAACGGATAACAACGGTAGTGAAGATATCATGGGACGACATGGACTAGGAGACAAAAACGAAAATGGGGAGAGATTCGCAAATGTACGTGCATTCAAAATTCTAGTTATAAGCGGCACAAAGCTACACGAGTCTTGCAGGAACACACAACGGAAAACAAGGTCGATTATATTTGCATTAATAAAACATTCCGAAGGATAAGCGAGGTGAGAACTAGGAGAGGAACTGACATAGCTTCAGATCATCACTTGGTTGTGGCCATGATGAAAGTGAAGATAAACAAACACTGGAAAACTGAAGGAACAGCATTACAAAGGTTCATTACAGCCTTCCTTCGACATACTGACAAACTCAACGAATTCAAAATAACTCTCAACAACAGGCTCCAAGCCTTACAGGATCTACTCAAAAAAGAATAAACAGCGATCAAGGACAACTGGAAAGGCATCAAAGAAGCACTAACTTCAACATGTCAGGAGGCTCCGGATCGCAAGAAGCATCATCATGATAAATGGATCTCTACCGAAGCACCAAACATGATTCAAGAAAGGAAGAACAGGGAGATAGCAGTTAAGAAAAACCGAACAAGAACAGAGAAAGTCAAGGCACAAGCCGAATACACAGAAGTAAACAAGTAAGTGATAAGCAGCACTAGAGCTGACAATCAGAAATACGTGGAATACCTAGCAACGACAGTGGAAAAAAGCTGCAAAAGAAGGAAGTATAAAACAACTGTATGACACAACGAAGAAACTGGCAAGCAATTACAGTAAACCAGAGAGATCGGTCAGGGACAAAGAAGGTAAGACAATAACCGAGATTCAAGAGCAGAGGAACAGATGGGTAGAATACTTCAAGGACCTCTTGAATAGACCAGCTACAATGAACCCATTGGACATCGAAGCAACACCTACAGACCTTCCTATAGATGTCACTTCACCAACGATCGAAGAAATCATGATGGCCATCAGACAAATCAAGAGTGGAAAAGCAGCAGGACTTGACTATATACCACCTGAACCACCGAAGTCAGACATAGAAGTAACTGCAAACATGCTCCACGTTCTAGTCAGGAAGAACAAGTGCCGACAGACTGCAAAGAACGACACCTCATCAAGATACCAAAGAAAGGAGATCTGAGCAAATATGAGAACTACAGAGGAATCACACTACTGTCAGTACCAAGAAAAGTTTTCGACAGTGTTGCTGAACTGGATGAAAGACTCAATAGATTTCCACTTTCGAGATCAAGAGACCGGATTCCGTAAGGATCGGTCGTACACAGACCAAATCGCAACACTATGGATTATCGTTGAACAATCAGTTGAGTGGAACTCGTCACCATACATCAACTTTATAGACTATGAGAAAGCGTTAGACAGTGTGGACGAGAGGACTTTATGGAACCTTGCTCAACAATATGAAGTAACTGAGAAAATCGTCAACATTATCTGGAATTTATACGACGAACTATACTGCAAAATTACCATCGATGAACACTGAGGATCTGATGCAAATGTAAAGGGTGGCCTATGCTCCTCCACGAGGGGTAACAGGCGTAAGTAAGTGTGTTAATTTCCTACCAGATCAGTAGTAATTCGAGAACATCACTTGATTTTTATCAGAATACATCAATATAAACATCTGTACTTGTAAATGAACCATTAGTGAACATTCCTATTGAAGGGGACGGCATGTGTTCGGCAGAACACAGATCTGATAATTGTGATAACCGTAGGTTTTTAGGTCATAGCATTTCAAGATAATAATCACTGATTACCGTTTGTAGTCAACTAGCACGTGAGAATATGGTTATTAAAATATGAATCCTTGCTCATACCTTCTGGATTATGATAAAATTTACAATTATTGGCACATTTCAACCATGGTGGGACTTCATCAATATCATGGCGAGAATATTCCATGCAGAGACAAAGCGGTGGAATTTTTTTATTCAGACGATTAGATAAGCGAGACCATAAGGAAAGCATCTCGCCATTATGACCATCACGTTCAAGTTTTTCCAGACTTCTACAAAATATAAAAACATTTTAACCAATGGAATAATATATTGTAGTAACTAGTTGGAACAATAAATACACTGGGTCAGATTGGGTATAATAAATTGGAATGCATGAAGTATTTGGCCGGTAATAGTGCTTAGGAAGTCTAGGTGGTTACTTCTAATGGAAGAATGCTAAGATCATGCCCTAACACGTTTATTTATATTTTGCCAGGTTGTAGTCGCTGCCACTAGGTCAAGCCCATATAGGCATTCTAGATTCTAGACATACCAATTTATTCCTTCTTGAGCCATATTTTGACCTTTTCAATTATTCGCCTAATAATCGTGGCCGCTTTCGCATGATCGTGTTCGTCGATTGCTCATCCTATTCATTACGTATATGTAAATTATTTTTGTCTGAATATAAATACTGAGTTACGCTTGATCAAAACGAGTTGGCTCACTCGCCACATCGATGCGCATCACGATTGTATGAAACAAACGTATTCAAAATTCATTCTCGTGTTTGGCTCATTTCAGTCCGTTATTCACTAACGCGATTGGCGGTATGTATATTTCCGCAACAATCATCAGAAACAATCTGAATGGAGACAGATATCAGGCCACTAAAAAGTAAATGAAA